GTGGCTCAGCCTGTAATCCCATGCTTTGGGAGGCTGAGATGAGTGGATTGCCTGAGCCCGAGGCAATGCCGAGACCTGTCTCGGCAACTTGGTGAGACCTCATCTCTACAATAAATCAAAAAAATTAGCCGGTAGCTCGTGTCTGTAGTTCCGGTTACTTGGAAGGCTGAGGCAGAAGTATCGCCGGAGCCCAGCAGGTCAAGGCTGCAGAGGCTGGGAGCGTGCCACTGCACTCCAGTCTGGGCGACAGAGTTAGACTCCAACTAAAAAAAGAAATTTATTTATTTGTTTATTTACTTATTTTGAGTAGGAGTCTCACTCTGTCACCCATGCCGGAGTGCAGTGGCACGCTCACGGCCACAGCAGCCTCGACCTGCTAGGCGCTGTTGATGAGTCTGCCTCAGCCTTTCAAGTAGCTGGAACTACAGGCATATGCCACCACACCCAGCTAATTTATCTTGATTTATTGTAGAAACGAGGTCTTAACCAAGTTGCCCATGCTGGTCTCGAACCTTGGGCGCAGGCAACTCTCTCAGCCCAGTCTCCCAAATTTCTGGGATTATAAGCTTGAGCCACCATACCTGGCCTCTTTTTAAAAATTTAAATGTTCTACCTCTAGTGTAGCCATGGTGACTGATGTCGCAACCAGCCAATCACAGTTGCTGCCAGTAGAGCTTGTGAACTAAAGTAGAGGGGCAATAATTTACATCATAACAAAGAGTGATAAGGAAACTGTTGGTATTCTTCTAGGACTTGATGACTTTGCCAACATGGAACTGAAAGATGTCACTGAGTTTGAACTCACACCCGAAGGAAGAAAAATTACTAAACTAGATCACATTTTGCTAAATGGAAATAATATAACAATGCTGGTTCCTGAAAAAGAACCTGAAGTATGGATGGGTTTCCCTGACTTAGGCTAGATTCTGTTTTGTCTTACAATGGCAACAAAAAAGAACATTTTTTGTTAACCTTTTAATGTTTAGATTCTATAAAGTTAAGTTTCCTGTTAAACGGAAATGCTTTGGAGATGCATATCCATTTTGTAAGTTAATCATGACTATCTCGGAAAAAGAAAAGAGTTTCTCTTGGAAGACCGAAGATACCAAATTCTAATACATAAATTTATACTAACATTTTATAATCTGACATTGAATTATTCAAAGGGACTTATAAACTCATATTGAATTTTACAGAGTATACTCAAATTGGTAAAATATTCAAATCTACGCTATCATCTATCAATTACTTTATAAATTCTCAGTAGAAATGAAAAATCATGATTTACCAGGCTTCAAAGGCAAAATTCTTATTGAGTCTTTGAATATGATATGAATTAAGTTTTCAAATGTAAGGTAAACTTTCTAAGACTCCCTTATACAAGCCACATAAATAATTAAAATTAAGGGGTTTTCAAGGTATTCAAATACAAAGGTCAATGAATCCTGTCTAGTCATATTTAAGGAAATAATTCCATTCCCCAAAGAGTAGTTAGTGAGTACAAGAAAATAATTCAGGAAGAAAAGAAAGTGTTTCAACTCTACTTATTTAACTAGGAAGGTGAACAAAAACAAGGTGGCAATTTAAAAGCAACGTAGTAGTAAAGCAAGTGTAAGTAATGCTATCCCTCCACCTTACATAGCCAGGGAAAAGGAACACATTTCTATAAAAGTTATAGAGCTGTCAAGGGGACACCAAACACTACCTTCTTAGGGCTGTTATGTTTTATCTATAAAGCTTGGATACTGTGTTACTATGGTGATTTAATACTATGTTTTAAAGGGGGATTATATGATTAATTTTAACAAGGTTGAGAACTGAAGATATGTGAGAAACAGGATTCTAGCTCAGATAATTAAAGTGATTGGGGAGAAAAGTGGGCCTCAATGGGGGAGGGGAAACCCTGTTTTATTAAAATATTTAAAGCAACAGGTCTGGATGATTCTAAGTTACAAATAAGGTCTTGGCTTTGTGAAGTACTATTATGTGAACATACAAAATATGATTGTTCACTATTTTAATTTAGGGTTTGTTTTCACTTCTAGAATGTTTAAAATAAATACTCATTTTAAGTATCATTCTAGAAGGTAGGGATACTGATAGAACTGGATAAAAAGAAAACATCCAGGATCTCTAGGAAAAGGAAAACAGAATGAACACACCTGACTTGTGAATTGGGTGTCATTAATTTCCCATCTTTTCACTCCCATTAAAAATGCTGGAAATGTTTTTAGCTACACAGTAGGCTCAAAGAAAGAATTACTTGGTTCAAATTCCAACTAAATTGCTTACTAAATGGGCCTTAATGTTACAAGTTACTTAAACCTCTAAGCATCTCAGTTTCTTTACCTGGAATAACAATGAGAAACTACCACCCAAATTTAAGGATGTTTTAGAAAATAAGTGGTATGTACATTTAGTATAAAGGCTAGTCCATAATAGCAATAATTAATAACCAACAGTGAAAACTAAAATTCACATTAAAATCATGAATTTGCTCAGAATATTCTTGACTGACTTGCTTTACAATGCTTGTGAGTGGAAGAAGTCTGCTTTCTTTGTCTGTTGCATTTTTTTTTCAGTAAAGAGTAGTTCTCTGAGTGATTGATGTTTTCATTAAATTGAAAAATACTCTTTTTGGGGTGCCACAGTTCCTTTTAAAAAGGAGGTATTTATTGTCAATTGTCTCACCTTTTAAATTCCTGGTAGGGTGAAGTACAAGACATCAAAAGCCCAAAACCAGTAGACTCTAAAATAGTTTTTCTTTTTTTCTTTCTTTTTTGAGTTGGAGTCTCACTATGTCGCCCAGGCTGGAGGGCAGTGGCACACTCACAGCCACCCCAGCATTGACCTGCTGGGTTCTGGCAATCCTTCTGCCTCAGCCTTCCAAGTAGCTGAAACTACAGGTACGCGCTACCATGCCCGGCTAATTTTTTTATTTATTGTAGAGACAAGGTCTCACCAAGTTGCCAGGGCTTGTCTCGAACCCACGGGCTCAGGCAATCCACTCGTCTTGACCTCCCAAGGTGCTGGGATTACAGGCTGAGCCACTGAGCCTGGCCTAAAATAGTTTTTCACTGACAATTTCCTATAAATTAAAAGTCTGGCAAGACCAGTCAAACAGAGGTTAACTTGAAGGCTTCTGAATCTCCAAGAAATTTATCATACACTCTCTATTTGCTGAAGGAGTCCATGGGAGAATTCATTATTTCTCCATAAAAACAACTTTAGAGAAAAGGTCTGCTTCCTTAAAGGCTGCGGTTTTTGCATTTACTTCTAGTATTAGCATCCATAATTTCCACAAGAATCAGAGATTTCATGATGAGGGAAGCTAGGGAAAACCTTGTTTTACAGATGGAAAAACTGAGGCTTAGGGTTTACTTTTGGTTTGTTTTCCAAAGTAATCAGAACAAAA